TTTATACAGAAATTACTCCCTGAATGAGTCACCAGGGAAAATGCAAATAAACCCACGAGATATCATCTCACCCCTCCTAGAATGGCGACTATAAGAAACATAAAAGCTCACAAGTGTTGGTGAGGATGTGAAGAAGAACCCCTATGCACTGTGGTGGGATTATAAATTGGTGCAGCCACTATGGGGACCAATATGGAGTTTTCTTAAGACATTCAAAAGATAATTTTTTTAAAAAAGTACGATCCAGCAATACCACATCAGGGTTTTATCCAAATGAAATAAAACACTAATTTGAAAAGAGTTCTGTACCCTCATGTTCATTGCAACATTTTTTACAGTAGCCAAGAGGTGGAAACAATCTAATAGTGTCCATAATGGATGAATGGATAAAAATGTCACACACACACACTCTGGAATATTATTCGGCCACAAAAAAAATCCTACCATTTGCCACAACATGAATGGATCTTGAAGGAATTATGCTAAGTGCCATAAGTCATACAAATTAAGACAGATACAGTATGATCTCAGTTATATCTGGATTCTAAGAAACAAAACAAAGAACTTGAACTCATAAATGCACAGATCAGATTATTGGTGGTTGCATAAGATGGGAGCTGGGTGGTGGGCAAAACGGGTATAGGTGAAAAGCTGCAAATGTCCAGTTATAAAATACTAGAGGCCTGGTGCACGACATTCATGCACTGGTGGGTGTGGGGATCCCTCAGCCCGACCTGCATCCTCTCCAATCTGGGAGTCCTCTCCAATCTGGGAGTTTTTGTCTGTCTTTGCAATCATATGAGCGAATTGTCTGAGACCCCGACTCAGTTTGGTTTGGTGCTCACAGATTAATAGAGGCATTTTCTTTTTCTTTGCTTCATTGATGGAGATTTCCTGGAAGTTTTAGGATATCTTCCCTTTAATGTTTCCTAGACACTCTGATTTTACTTATAGCTCTCACCTTTGCTTTCCCTCCATCCCCTACCACAACAGTAACTTGCTCCAGGCTCACTTTCCTCTAGTGTCTAGGACAGCCATGGGCAAATTGTTTGAGCCGTGGGATTCGGCCTGTTTGAAATGAATAAAACTATTAAAAAAAAAAAAGACCATACCCTTTTATGTAATGACGTTTACTTTGAATTTATATTAGTTCACACAAACACTCCATCCATGCTTTTGTTTCGGCCCTCCGGTCCAGTTTAAGAACCCATTGTGGCCCTCGAGTCAAAAAGTTTGCCCACCCCTGCTCTAGAGTATACATAATTTATTAGCACTTTTAAACTTTTTTACTAAAAAGTAAATGAGTGTTTAATCTTTATGACTTGAT